AAAAAGTGCAATCATAAAAATAGTTCTTCTATGGTGAAAATTCGAGTTTATATGAAATGAAAAATGACAAAACTATCAGAAGAAGTACAGATGAAAAAATTAATGGTCAACAAATAAGTTTATTGTTATTGATGGTTGCTTATAAGTGTTTTTTTTTTAAAGAAGCTACACTGATGTGTGCGTTTATACGATCAAAAAAAGTGTTCAAGATTTAATAAATATGCTCCAATTAAGTTACAAGTTGCTGCCAGAGACTTGCTACTAAATAAGTTAAATGGGGGTGTTTATAAAAAACAGCTGATTTTGTTTTGTGTTCAAATATTACCTTTGGTTTTGGCAAAAACAGCAATACAGTGGGTTACTGATTATAAAATGAAGAAGTGGACCTTAACTATGGTACTCAGATTGAAGCTTATTATTTTTAAAGTGAGTTTTGTGATTTTCATTGCCCAGATTAAAGATATTCAATAAACATTTAGTTTTATACCTACTATAATCAAATCCATACATAGTGATTGGAATTACAAACATTTCTGTGAAATAGGTAGCATTATACCAGAATAATGAAGTCTCACTGGACTGGAGTATATATGTTTCCAAAGATCAGTAAGTACCTATATCAATTATTATTATTTTTATTAATAAGTATCAGTAATAAATACATCTCAAAGAATAACAAGGTTGTAACTGTACTTTTTGGAAAAAATGAGATTGGTAGAATATATTAATTAATTTGTTTTTGTGACCAATATGTTCATCTGTTAATTATCAATGTTGTGTTATCGAAGCACTAAAGTTATTCACATGGTTCTATCTGCAGGTACATAGAACTTATACAGTTTTTAGCAAGTGTCATTATAGTAGTTATATCTTTGTTATTCCCTAATCCCTAGCAAATGTAGTCTCCATCCTCCACAATTATATTAAGATTAAAGGCCAGGTTTTTACCTCTGAATAAAGTTGAAAGTAACTACTTGCTGATTAGGCTATAGATTATACTTATGCGTAACTTTACTCAGAGGTTAAAAAATCTGCCATTAAAAGAACAGTGAGTTTTAGAGCATAAACAGTATTAAATATAATGGGTATTTTTTTATTAAACTTTTTGTTTTTAAACAGTTTTGATTGAAAATTATAAAAAAAATGATAGAGGATACCTAGAAAGATTTATAATATAAAACAACATTTAAAAATTCTGAATTAACAAAAGTATGTATTTTTTGTTCCAAGCTTTGTCTCTGTTACCTAAACTAAATACTAGAAACACAGTTTTAACTGGCAGTTACTACTATGCTTTATCAAATATTCTAAAAAATGTAGGTCGCTTAGTTCTTTCTGCATTTTTTATCACTTAAGATTTTCTCTTAAATTAGAGTTAGAAACACAATGAAAATCAAACAAGTTAATGGCTATACAAACTTCAACTCCAAAAAAATAACTACCTGTCTAGATACAATCTTGTTATCCTAATATGACAGATGTAGAAGATTTATACAAATGTGAAAAACATTTTTCGTTCTGCAATGCTAGATGAAATCTTTAATTAGGCATCAAATTTGTAAAATGTTAGAGATAGTATGTAGGTATATAGGGAAAATAAAAAATATAATTATAATGAAGAGTAAGAACTTTTAAATTTTAATATAACTAGAACAAAATATTCAGTAATTAAAAATTTTGATAGGAATTAAAAATTTGCTCGAGTATAAATGTTGTGCTTGTTTTTAAGTGGTTTCGATTTACTTTAGGTTTGTTCCAACAATGCTCAGAAATGAGTTACTGACATCAGGATTCTGCACAGTAGTTTATTGAGACTGCAAAATTGTGTACTACCCAGTGGTTCATTTCTGATCGTTGGAACAGACCTTTTATTCAATAAATAATCGAACAAGTTAAATGTGTATTTGGAATTTTTTTAATTTTACAAATCTGGAGCTTGAATATGGATTTTCAAATGATGCACTTTTTGTAGTTTTTAATAATGCTTATTTTTTTTTTAGTTTCTTGTTCATTTAATAAAGATGCTTCTTTGTATATGGGGTGATAATTTTTAAGCAGAGGCGTGCAGCACCCACAAGATCACTGCCAGAATTAATTCAAATGGGTAATCTAAAAATATGGAGTAGGTTCCCTGCACAAGATTTTCAAGAACTTGTAAATACAATGTTTTAATGAATTATTGCCGTTATCAAAGTTAAAGGTGATGAAACACTCATGAAAATTTGTAAATATTTAACCCTTTCAGTGTATTTGTCCCTCCAGAGGGACACTGTCTTAATTAACCCTGAAGTATACATCTGTTAATTTTGGTAGAATGTTTTTCTTTTTGGTTTATTTACTTTATTTGCATTACTTTCAAAGATTAATATTTAAAAAAATTTATTTTCATAGTAAATTTTTGTTTTTGTAATGTCCCTGAACAGGGACGTTATGTCTTGGAGTAATAAAAAATACTATGAAAATATTTTAATTTACTTAAAATAAACAAAGAAAACATACAATCTACTACAATGGTATTTTTTTTAATGAAAGTGGAAGTGAAAGGGTTAAAAAAATAAAACAATTTATCAGATTTATGTATGATTTTTTCTTGTAGTGACAGTCACTATAAATATGAGAAGTGTGCTAATTGAAACGGGACAGGGCTCATATAGTTTTATTTAAAAAGTAAACCTTGTCATTAATTAAATATAAATGATTATTATATTATTGAAATATATAATGTAAAACAAATTGTTGTAATGTTTTTCTGAAATCAGAAGTGTTGTCAGGTTTGTTACTGTCTGCTGCTAACTGTGACGTGTACAAGCGAACATAATAAACCTACTTATTGAGTACATTAATATAAAAAACTCATAATAAATCTGGAAACTATACATTTGAAATTTTCCTACTTATTTTTTCATTACTGCTATTATCCAATAGAACAATTCCTATGCTTTTATTTAATATTTCATTTTCCACAAATAAATATAAAAAAATAATTAGTAAAATTATAAAATGAGTTCCAATTAAATAATGAACTATATTATTAATTGAAATTGTTAATATAAGAAACGAATAAATTAAGAAAATAAGTGTAATAATGGGAAATGTGTAAATTGTATTTATTTCTAATTTTAAATAATTTTGTGTGTATTGTTAATTTTCTTTCTAGTGTAAAATTAATAATTTTAACAAAAATTTAATGAGATGTTTTATTTGTGTTAGAATCCGAATACAATAAGAATGCTGCTGTCATAATGATTACTCTGAATTTCAAATACCTAGTATATATAACTTATCAATAAATAAATATTAAGTTGTTAGGTATAAAAAAATATTTCCTATATTCCTAAAAGATTAACACTTCACCTCCAGTGGATAACTTCGGTAACTGTATCAGCAATACTTTCCACATTCTCGTCTCCTTTGAGAAGTAGTCCCATCATAAGTAATAAAAGCAGGAACAGCATTTTTTAGGTAGTTTTTTTTTTAAATTTGCACTGCACATTAAATAATGGCAATCTTATAATTGAAGGGTCTGGAAATGCACCATTCTTGTTCCTATAGTTGGAATCCTAACATATAGTTGCAAGGTTATATTTAATTATTTGGAACCAGGGAATAAGCATATTGAAATAACTTTTACTTTTTATCATGTATTTACCAATTTTTACATTGATTAAAAATAAAAAGAATCTGTAGATTTTCAAGTAATAGGATCGTTATTTTTAACTTCAAATTTGTGTCAAATTCTAGACTTCAGTGCGGAATGGTGTGAATTTGCGGATTTCTAGACTCGTCAACTACAAGATAACCTTAAATAATTATTAGGTACATCAGAAAAAACATTGTTTAAATTATTAACCAGTGTATGTACACATTATTCAATACACAAATACCAACATCTACGACCCCAAACTACATTTATTTACTTAAAGGGATTAACTCCTATAAAAATACAGAATTGAAAAATCCTTAATATTTCTTACAACTCAAATTTGTATTAATTTAAAATCAGTACTTCTATAAAAACCTAGTAAATACATTTAAAGAACTGGAACAAAACACATTCGGGGATGATTATTATTAAACAAATGTATATTTAAACACTTGAAAATAAAAAGGCTACAAGTAAAATAAATTTATCATAGTATCTATTTGATTCTTATAACCAGATACAACTTTCTAGCATTATAATCAGGCTAAAAGGAATAAGTCAAAGATTTTATTTATTCGCAGGGTCAGAAAAATATCAAAAGAAATAGGTACCTTGTGTATATGAAATTTATACCATGAACACATTATAATAGGGTCCAAGTCATAACATTATTAGTACCAAGGGGACAGGATAAATAATACGAAATATTTATATAGTAAAACTTTATACTAATAATTATTTTTATTATAGAAAAGACAAAGTTGAATAACCTATTTACATAACCTACAATCATTTAAAACGTAGACATTAAACATATTTACTTGAAAAATAACGTTTCCTAGTAGATTTCTTAGCACTTTTTCACGAATAACATAATTTACATTTAAATGTTTTTCACAAATGGAACTTTTGGGTTTAATGTTTATTTCCATACCACCTAAATAATTGCACCATATTCTGTATAACTGTTTTTTGGCATTATAAAACTGCTATCAATATGTTGAAGACTCTCCCACAATCACAATTAAAAACAGCTCAACGATCCACCATGATTTATATATTTTTAGATTTTAAAAAATATTTATCTGTCAACACTTTTCAAATTGCAGCTCCTACCAACCTTCATCTTTTATTTACTTTCTCGCCGGATAGATACTAGCGAACCTAGCGGATTTTGGCTAGGAAGTACGATCGGTTTTATCGCCGTTTTCATTTGTTTTTAAATAGGAGTTGATACACCTTATAGTACACCGTGGGAGGTACTAATATGCAATTCTTCTTACAATAATATTTGTGTGCCTCTTATATTAGTGACGATAGGCACTATCAACTGCCATCTTAAAAAGTAGGTCAAGAGCACGGATTTTTACGTCAATGTCAGCGCAGAAAGTTGTTTTGTCTTTGTGGTTTTGTTTTTGTTTATATTCATGATAAGATGAAACGTACTCAAACAAGATCAACTAACAACTAACAATGTTTATTTACTATAAAGTGTGAAGAGATAACGATGAATTCCAACATTTTCGGATTTTCGTTGATTATTTTCAAAAACTCTTTAAGAAAATGGCCGTGTACAGTAAAATCTATATAAATAAAATGCATAAATCGTGGCTGTCAGACGATCTCCTTCCTCCCTTTGGATTTACCAGCTTCTTCGGAGCAGTGGTTTTATGCATTATAACATTTTATGTCTTTAAAAAATTAAGCGGCGATAGTAACATTCCTCTTAGAGGAGTTCGAAAAGGTCATAATTGGAATCCTGTAAAAGTAACTGCCAAGGTAATTGTTTAGTTGGATTCCATGATTATGATTTTTGTTTTCCTCTAAATACAATATTAAAAATCCGATTTTGCTAGGAAGAGGAGGAAACTTTAGTCCATGTATTAGGCTACCTTAAAGGTTTTTAAAGACAGATTCCTTAAACTCGGAGAAGAAAAACCAGGAGCGACTAGCTACATAATATTTTCTTTATTGTATATTAGAAAATACGAAACTAGACTTTAACAAATGATCAGAGGATATCAATAATAGATCTGAAAAGGCCAAGGTGTGGAAGGCTTCATAGCCAACAGTCTAGTATCCCAATTTTGGCAAATAAAATAGTAATGACAGCTGTATTAAAGTTAAATTTATTGAATCTGTTGGGAAGTTATTAAACATTTCCCAAAAATATGATAGCAAGGAATGTGTTTGAGATATTAGTCTCTAAACTAGTAATGGAATAATTCTAAATAAAAATAATCAATAATCCAATTTTTCAAATAATCCACACGATCCGATTATGACAGTATAATTCAAATTATTTGGACGAATGATGGAATAACCTATTTTCTCCAGAATGGGTCACCACCAATGATTTACGATAAATTGTCTCGTTAACTGATAATGATAGAATGGTACACAGCACATGGCAGCACTTCAGCATTGTCTTTTCTTATTTTTAATAATGTTATTTTATTTTATGGATGTATTGAAATTATAGGGTATACGAGTAGATAGCATATAGAATATGACTGATTATAATTTTTAAGTGATTAAATTCAAATAAATAATCAATAATGGTTAGCTTCGGTGATAATCTGATAATTGGTAGGAATCGTGGGTGATGGCTCTGCCCAGAAAATTCTGTAGTGATTATGAGTGATGGATGATAAATGATTTTTAATTCAAATTATAATCCGTTTATTGAAATCACTCATGACCTGATAATCCGAATATTAAAATATTCCAATTTTTCCCATCACTACTCTAAACATGAATTTGCTTTTTTTTTAAATCGTGAATAAATGGAAGTTGACTCACTCATTACTTATTGAATTATTTTTTTTATGCTACATTTAAATTAAATACACTTTTTTGTAGACATGGTATTGTTCAGTGTGTGAATCTCTATTATTGAATGGAATAGGAGTATATTGTGACTGTTGTGGGGTTTGTGCTGATCCAGACTGTATCAGAAAGGCAGATACATCATTCAAATGTAAACTAATTACTAGCAATGACCAGAATTTTCCTCATCATTGGATTAAAGGTAAGTTTGTTTAAAAATACATATTTCATTATTTAAAATGTTTTCTATTTTAGTAATTGTATTTTTGTAAATTTCTATAAACAAAATTTATTTTATTAGTAATTGTAGGGCTTATTGGAACAACATGATAAGCCACAACATTAATTTATTGAGGAAACACGTCTTCAAAGATTAAAATAATCTAAAACTACTACAACTTTGTTGAAATGTAATAACTTGGTTTAAGGCCTTTGTAACCTAATTTTTATTGCAGTAAAGTAAAAATTCCTTTATTTTAAAAAATTTGGCTTATCAAGTTTTTACAATAAGCCCTTCAATTATTCAACGGTTTGACATTAACAGACTCATCACTTAATTTTTTACTTCAAAAATTTATTTCTGTTTTGTATAGAAGAAAAATTAAATTAGTTATCTTAATTTTAGTTTTTCATAATTTTATACCTGGATAGAAAAAAGGTTAATGTAAAAGAATTGTTATTTAAGTTATTGGGTAATTTTAGCAATTTATTATTTCAATTTCTAATGTCGAAACTTTGGCCTTTTTGTATCAATATAAAATGGATCTAGACCATAATATAAGTTTAACATACAAGTTGAAAACCAAAAATGGTTTGCCTTTGTTTTTTATCTTTTAATTAGGGGCAAGGAAAATCTCCCAGGTGGCACACTGTCGTTACAGAGACGTCATTTATTGGTCATTTTTCAGTGACGTCAAAATGACGTCTAGCTCACGTCATTATGTCACGGTCCAGCGACGTTACTCTTATAGCAGGGAGAGAAGTTGGAAAGGCTTTTCACAGTTCTCCCACTTCCTACACAGAAATTGACAGTTTTGCCGCGGAGCTAAGCGAAGTGGACGTAATACATTGGCGTGCAAAATTATTTTATAGATGTTAATAACAATTTCGGGTAAATAGTTTAATTAATTTTGAGTAGCTGTTGAAATTTTGTAGAATTATGATTTGGGATGTTATAATACTTGTTTAATAATTATTTCTAGTCCATAAATACGTGCGATTGTCCGGTTACGCCGGTAACGACACTGGCGTTTACCCCCTCTCTACCTACCAAAAGCCTTTCCAACTTCTGCCCCTGCTCTATAACCAGTGCTGCCAGATCTACCGTTTTTACAGTAGATCTACCGTTTTTACAGTAGATTTACCGTTTTCACACTCTATCTACCGTTCTACCGCAGAGACTAGTAATTCTACCGCAAAATTGAAAACAGAGGGAGGTACTAGAATTTGAATCTAATAATTAAAGTAAAGTAAAAAAAAACAATAATCAATGGAAAATTATGAATGACGATTCTGTGCCCCATCTTTTACGCAGACGTCGACAACGACATTTTGGGTATTCCCAGAAGCGATCAGCTGTGTGCGATTGCGGATTGGCTTTGTATCTGCGTTGTTTGTCGTTTAGTAGTTAAGTACTCTTTATTACTTTAAGGTAAGTCAAAATAAATAACATAAAAAATTATACATTTAGTGAATATTTCAATTCATGTGCCACATTGAGATATCTGTGTAGGTATGTTCGTTTGTCGATGGTGTTGAAATTGATGCCTCTATTGGGGAAGATATTGAATAACTGAAGTCAGATACTGAACTTTGTGGACGGATTGCGTCAGAAGGAGTCATTGACATAAGTTCATACTTACTCATAGTGTTAAATATTTCTGTTTTAGCTTTAATCATTAAAATTGGGGGTAACTTTTTGAGTACAGCTTTAATATGTTCTCCAAAGGAATTGATGCCATTTTCATCTCCATTATTATCATTATTTTCTTTATTGCTCAAATTTTTAAAAATCGTTTGTCTTTGGGTATCCCTTTCTTTTAGATAATGTAGGAATTCATCTTCTTTGGTTTGCCGTTTCCGCTTTCGAGTTGGGACTTGTTTCGAAGTATTTTTATTTTGTTGTAAAACTTGTGTTTCGTCCTGAGATTCGTTCACAATCGTCGATTGGGTTTCATTGTCAGCAGTATCTATATCACCACCATCAGCATCGTCATCATTTATATTAATATTGGTTTCGTTCTCATCATTCCCATGGTTGTCGTCATCATCTGAAACAGCAGGTACATTCGACATAGTGTCTTTATGAGATGATGTTTCTAAAAAACTTAGTCTAGCATACACCTCCCATTTAGAATTTTTAGATTTAGCAGCACTTCCTGTCCCTGCATGTCTTTTCCGTTTATATCTGTTGTAGGAGTCTTTAATGCACTTCCATCTTTTTTTACAATCGTCCCCTAAAATGGAAACTAACTTTTATTTTTTTTTTAGATTTATGGCAACTGGAGAAACTTTTGTGTCTTTATCTTTTGCATATCGTATATCTGACTGTTATATTTCAAAGATCGTTAGAGAAGTTTTAAAAGCATTGTGCAAAAACCTTGTATCAGTTGCAATGCCAACATTATCTGAACAGGATTTTTATAGAGTTTCCGCAACATTTTGGAATAAATGGAATGTACCGAACTGTGTAGGAGCAATAGATGGGAAACACATTCGAGTTAAATCGCCAGAAAAAAGTGGTTCATTATATTTTAATTATAAGGAATATTTTTCAATTGTGCTTTTAGCCGTTGTAGATGCGGACTGCAAATTTATTGCAGTTGATATTGGTTCGTACGGAAAAGAAGGAGACAGTAATATATTTAGAAGATCCGCTATATGCCATCGAATAGAATCAAACAATTTTAATATACCTGAAGAAAAATGTCTTCCAGGGACTAATATTTATATACCACATTTTTTAATTGGTGATGAAGCATTTGGAATTGATTCCTACATGATGAAGCCATATCCTCGAAAAACTGCAAAACACGACAATAAAAAAGAAATATATAACTATCGCATTTGCCGCGCTCGCAGAGTTTCGGAAAATGCATTTGGTTTATTAAGCCAAGTTTTCAGAGTCTTTTATACACCCATATCAATTAAACCTGAAACTTGCAACGAGTTGATAATGGCAGCATGCTGCTTACATAACCTTTTACGTAACGAATATTTACAAAACAATAATAGTGGCGGATTTCAGTACAACGAGAAAGAAAATCCACCCAAATTAAATATGGCTCCTTTAAACCATTCTGGCGGGTTCGCTAAGCGAACGGGTTTATGGGTCAGAACTCAGCTTACAGAATACTTTTTAAGCGAACACGGAAAATTGTCCTGGCAAGAGCAACATATCTTCAATAAAAAAGACTAGGAACAGCGTTCCATACCACTCATTTCAGATTTATATTTGTAGAAGGATTTAAAATTTAATTACTTTGTATGTCATGTACCATGTCTATATGTTTATTATAATTCATAATTAAATTGTAAGACAGATAAATTGACAAAAGTTACTTTATAATTATAATATGCATTATGATTTTGCTTTATAAATCATTTAAAATAAAAGTACATACCTGTTCGTTTTAATATTGCTCCTATTTCTTTCCAAATATTTTCCCGCTTTACAATATCTTTGTAACTTTCTAGTTGAAGGTCGTATAAAGTTGGGTTTTGCTCAACTAAATCTATAAGTAGATCATCTTCTTCCCCTGAAAATACTGACGACTTTGATTGCGATGGCGTATTTTTCACTATTTTATCCAAAGAAGCCATTGCTTGATAATAGCACAACAATACTTATTACAACGATTGCTGCAGAACGACTGCCTCCAGACCGGTCTTGACGCTGACGCGCGTCCAAGCAGCAGAGACAGGGCGAGACACTTAATAAGCTAGTTGCTGCTGCAGCGTGCATCGAACGGTAAATCATTAGATTTCATTAGAACAGTAGTGTCTCTGCCTCTTGCCTCTGCCGCCTGCAGCTGCAGCATGTCTCTGCAGCGACTATCGAACGAGTACCTTTAGTAATTCCCCGAGCCAGCACTTTTTAATTTGTGTCATTTGCTGTGTAAAAAAAGTGTGGTTTTTGAATGTTTTGACTGTTTATGACTATAAGGTGAGTAAATTAATACGTAATATCAAAATTTTAAACCGCTATAATGTACGTTAATTTTTAGTTCTGATTCTGATGCATTTTATTTCACTGAAGACCGATGAGTTCCTACCTCCAGCTAGGGCTGCCATACCTCCCGATTTAGGCGGGAGCCTCCCGATTTCTCACACTCCCTCCCGCTTTTTAAACTAAGCTATAAACCTCCCGATTTTGCAGAAATCTCCTAATTTTCCCCGAATTTACATTGAATAGATAATATTAAAAAACTATTAATATGCTATCAAATTATCGGTCATCCCGCCCATATCTACAAACGTCGTAATTTCTACAAGCGCCATCTTTTATATGTTTGGGGGCGATAGATTTGAAAACAAACCCTAAATTGGACGATTTCATAAAAATTTCTGATGAGTTTGCCTATTAGTGTAGATATTGACCTACTTTTAGAAGAATTTGTAAAGTTGTCATCATATTTGGAAAACCCACCACTAAATTTTAAAGACATTAAAATTGACCAGCAATGGGTTTATCTCCAAATTTAATTATACTGAAACTTGCCAAGAATTTGAAAAAATTTTGCAAAAGGAAGGAAAAAGTAAGTGCAAAGAATACTTTAAAATAATTTATTGCTTCTCTTCTGTTTGTTTACAGAAAAAACCAACAGAGCTGGAATTATATGTTTTAGTTCAAGTATAAACCCACCCATTGTTAATTTTTTTAGTGTTTGTTTATACAAATGCACAGTTGTGACATGAAAATTACCAAAAATGATACCAAAATTAAGAATAGGTATAGAGTTTCCATTATCAATTGCAGAACACAGTTATGTGGGAAATCATCAATATTTAATATATACGCACGGTACTCATGCCAAATTAAGAAACGAAAAATACTGTTTACTCCCCTTATACAAAGCGGTAAATATTAAACGAACCATCAGTTGTTTACCAATGAAAACATCGAATCGAAAACTTAAATACACTGTATTGGCCGAAGGTTTACGGAAGGCAGTTGTTCGAAAATATTCCTGGAAGACAGTC